AAGTCTCACCACCCTTAAGGGCTCTTATCTCCATGCATAGAAGCTTCACCCAGAGAGAGAACATCCTTCCCCCAACCAGGTTTGTGCCTTCTGTAGACACGAGGTGGGACATACTTCTGTTTGCACAGTTGTGTAAATATCATCATGACAGACACAATAGTTTTATGGTTACCACCTGAGACTGATACAAACAATTCCCATATAACTGTTACATCTGCATGTTCCCACAGAGGTAAATGGAGCAAATCCACTGCAGGTTGAACCCAGTTTCAATCAGAATTAAAGTTACTATGATATAAGTCCCTTGTAGAAGCATGCAGGCTTAGTGATGCATGTTCCAGAGCGGCAATTCTTCCTACCTTTTTAAAATGGTTGATGATTACATTTGTCCATAGCTTGAGTTTACAGTTTTCAGTCTGTGTCAGCTTTGCCTTCCATCCCCTGGGTTAAGGAGGGAGAAGCGGCTCTGTAAAGGACGAAATCCAGATATTATGATTTCATAACGCTTACTTGGTTGGCAAGCTGAGACAAGACTTTTCTAGCTATCAGCACTACAAGCTGAGTCTGGTATCTAAAAATCAAGCTGTTCCTTCTCTTCTGTGTGTCAACAATACTGAACTAAATGGAGGAACCGGTAGGGCTAAACTGTCATCATAACCAGGAGTAAATGTTATTTGTGGCTCTTAATTACTTCTGAAATCTCTTTACCTTTGGAAAACCAGATTTCACTAACCAGCATGCCCACATACGTTAAATATCCGTCCTTTTGCTGTCTTCCCTGTAGCCAAACCCCCAACCATCTACAGGAGGACTGGGCAAAATGCAGCCCGGGGGTCGGATGTGGCCCACCAGGCCATTCTATCTGGCCCGCAGGGCCCCTAAAAATTTTAGAAAATTAATATTTATCTGCCCTGGGCTGCCTGTCATGCAGCCCTCGATGGCTTGCCAAAACTCAGTAAGTGGCCCTCTGCCCAAAATAATTGCCCGCCCCTGATCTACAGCATCCAAACCTCTGCTGATTACTCTTTGAGCAATGGTGGTGAACAGAGATTCTGGAATTAAGTCAGATGAGTTTTATTGGTAAGGCTTTAGTCACAATTAAATTAATCTCTCTCTTCAAAGAAGCTGACGGCACTGGACATCTACAATGACAAACTGGACAGAAAGCGATGCCCCTGAGCTTAGAGAGAGTTGTCAGGGGTAGAGAACAGGTTCTGTGAGGACTAAGATGTACCTCACCTTTTGTAGGGGAAAACAATCCCAAACCAACCAACCCACAAGCTGGCTTCATTTCACCTATCGTGACAGGAGCCCTGCAGGACTGCAGTAACCTCTGTGGGTCCAGTGAAAAGCAGGGTGAGGAGAATCTATGGTGGGCTGCTAGATTATGATGTTATTTGCACACCTAGGTGTGAAAAATAGGAAAAATAATGTGGGTTTACAAGTTTAACTCAGTCAGAATCCCTATTAAACGTAAGGACGGAGAGGCAATAACAAAGTCCTTTACTTGTGGGCTATAGGAGTGTTACAATATGCTGTTTTGGGTTTCATTAAGAGTGATTAAGCTCTTTACATGCTCTCCAGGAGAAATAATCAGCTTGGATTACACTGGGAAACTTTTACATTCTTTATCTTTCTTAAGTAACTTTAATACCAGAAATTTTGCCTGCGTAAGCAAGAGGTATAAAAAAGATTTACAAACCTCATTAATCTCTGGAGTAACTGTACTACATCTAGGGATGATTTTCATCCCTACATTTAAGCTATTGGTAATTCAAGAGTATTTTTTTCAATGCAGTAGTTGCTATGGTAGGAGTGCATACAATGGCCACGCAAGCCTCAAGACTGTGATTTATATTGGTAAGAGTGATATTGCTTGCTAAATATGTGGGGTGTCAACACATGTGTACCTCTCCTAATAGTTATGTATGGATGCAAGAGACTATATTCAAGAGGCCCTTCCAGTCCTATATTCCTGCTCCAGGCTATAACCAAAGGCAAGATGTTGCTCTCAGATTTCAAGGAAAGGAGGCCACCACAAGACCCATGCAGCATCTGAGGGAAGTGACCCTCTCAGCAGCACAGAAGGGGAAAGGGATCTCAGAGTCATAGTGGACTCCAAGATGAACGTGAGTTGTCAGCGTGACAAAATCATCAGCAAAGCTAACCGTACTTTATCATGCATCAGCAGATGCATGACAAACGGAACCAAGGAGGTGATACTTCCCTCTTCTCTATGTGGCATTGGTCAGACCGCAGCTGGAGTACTGCATCCAGTTTAGAGCACCGTACTTTAAGAAGGATGTGGATAACCTCAAGAGGGTCCAGAGGAGGGCCATTCATATGGGTAAGGGTTTGCAGGCCAAGCCCTATGAGGAGTAAGGAGCCTCATAGGCCTCTGCTAGAGAAGGCTGAGAGATGATCTTGCGGCTGCCTACAAATTCATTAGGGGGATGCAACAAGGGATCGGAGAGGCTCTGTTCAGCAGAGCGCCTCTTAGGGTAAAAAAGAACAATGGTCACAAACTGATAGAGAGCAGATTTAGGTTAGATAGCAGGAAAAATTTCTTCATGGTAAGGATGGCCAAAATTTGGAACGGGCTTCCAAGGGAGGTGGTGCTCTCCCCTACCTTGGGGGTCTTCAAGAGAAGGCTGGATAGGCATCTGGCTGGGGTCATCTGACCCCAGCACTCTCTCCTGCCTATGCAGGGGGTCAGACTCGATGATCTATTGAGGTCCCTTCCAACCCGAGCATCTATGAATATGTGAATCTAAAATCTCATGGAAGTGGCCCATAATATAGATGCCAGACAGGAGACTAGCACCACCTTTCTTTGGAAAGTCAGATTAGATTAAGTTGTACATTAGGGTGACTGTGGCTCACAGCTCTATTTTGCCCTCCTGCTTTATTTCTAATATAAATAGAGAGGTTGCTTAACTCTGGCCATGAAGATACATAAACACTCTGAGTCAGAAAGACAGCAACCTGGGAACAGCAACAAAAAGGAGTAGACTTCATCCTCAAAGCTTTTGATTTGATTTGCAAAGTGCAAACGCTGCAGAAATCCTGATGGGAACAGTTAGCAAAAACTCTATAGCCCCACAGTGCTGCATTTTAAGAATTTTAATCCAGAGACATTTGGCTTTGAGCAGATTGGCAGGACTAGCCTTGTTTGCCTTTCCTTTGTGCTTTCACTGAAGGAGTCTTTAGAAAGAAAAGAAGAGGGAAGAATGCTAAAAGAGCAGGTATTTTAATCCTTCCTTCTACAGCCTATTTTGTGTCAGACCATGTTGTTTGCCTGGATTTGTGGAACCTAAATGCTGAAAGGCTCAGGTGGAACAAGTTTGATTTCCCCTTATTACAAACCCTGCTGGTTACACTAAGGTCCACCTACAAATCATACACTTCAGAGGTAGATCCAGGTAGATACACCAGGAATAAAGAAATAGGCCACACATGGAGAGGAAGTAGGTAAAATACCAAGGAGAAATAAACAGTTGAAACCCCAGCCTTTTATAACAAATCTGTACTTACAGAAAAAATCTAAGGATCAGAAAAGGGGTTTTAATACCAACAGCCTTTCTTTCTTTTTTTAAGTAAAGGTTTTCGTGTCCCAAGTTACATCAGTCAAATCAATTCCAAATCCGTGACAAAAAATTGTGGACTCAATATAGACATTGGATTTATGACACATTACAACATGCCTGACATCTGATTCACCAGGTACCTGCCAGACCTAACCTCTTACATTGTCCTTTTCCCTAACCTTTTCTCCCATCTCCTGTTTTTCTGCCCTTTGTCTTCCTAATATCCAACTATTTCCTTTTTCACAGACAGCCTCTTTCCTACCTTGAATTACTACCACTATAGTGTCTCCCTCTGGCCTTCCACCCCGCTTTTTTTCCCCCTCCCTTCCCTGCTTTACCTTTTGTCTTTCTCATTTCTACGTATTTATATTTTCACTGACATCCTGCCACACTTTTAGCTTCTCTCATTCCTTGGAGTCTCAGGCCAGCAGAGACTCCCTGTGCCTGTAGAAGTGTGATTACACCAGAAAGCTTGCTAAGAACTTTTTGCCAACTACTCAGTTGGTCTAATAAAAGATATCACATCTACACAAAGAACCTTTCCTGCCTAAATCCATGCGAGTCATTCAAGAACCACATGTTGCCCTGCTACCGACAAGCATCCTCCACCCCTGCCTGGGGCTTCAGATACTTCTAAACCTTTTGGCAGGCATCCTACGTGCAGGCCCAAGCCGAGAGACTTGGCGTTTGGATGCCCACGAGTTTCACTTGCCCTCAGCCATATGGCTGCAGAAACAAGCTAGGGAGGAGTCTCCCATTTCCATAAAGTCAGCATATAGCTGAGATCTTTCCACTGGAAATGAAAGTGGGAGGCTAACTATGCCTTACCTTGGTCAAGGTACTACCCCCCTGCCACGTTCGTGGTTTTCCCAGGACAGCAGGAAAACCACCTTGGTGGTCATGGTATTTCCCCTGGCAGGTAAGTATATACCAACAGCCTATACACATCTCTTTTCCCTGGGTATCTCTGGGGCTGAGTCTGCTTCCCCCTCATCTTTGTGCCTCCCCCACTCGCCTAATCTCTTTGTTTTAGATTTCCCACTAAGTGTATCTAGTCAAGGTTGGTGAAGCCAGTATGGTCAGTGATTAACTTCAAAAGGGACTGTCTGCATTGTGTTGTTAAGCACTGGTGGATGGTGCTGTTTATTTCCTCCCTTCCTGCATTTTGTGCTAGTTGGAATTAATGCCTCTATTTGTTATCTGTAATCAACATAACAAATAGATTAGGATGGTATGCATAAAACACCGGCCCCTTCCACAGTCCTCTGAGGAAGAAATCGTTATTCCCAAGCAGAAGCTGTGATCTCTAAATAAGTGTCAGTGTCTCAAGATAGATTTTCAAGCAAACAAAAATGTTTTCAGAAATGGTATTTACTCCACATCACATAGAGGTTGTGGTGGCAAAGGCATCTTTAAAAGACAACTGGCGAAGACAGAGCGTAGTTTTGGATGATTTGTTGTTTGAACGATTGCCCTTGTCAGACTTCAAGTGCCTTCTTTCACCTGGGGCCAAATCAATAGAGACAACATGGATAATAGTTCAGCCTAGTTCTGCAATAACAAACTCATTTTCTTCTATTACTTCTATAGTTCAAGTGACACTTACCTATTCATCTGCTGTCAAGGAGAACCTGTTGGCTGGACAGTGATCCTCTTGCTCATGTTCATTTGGTAGAAGTGAGAAAAGAACCAGACCCAAGGAGTCTGCACATGCCAGAGGTGACTGATGGAGGGGGCACATGCCCCCCTTGAGATTGGCCCCCGACTCAGGATGAGGCAGTTTTTTTGCCATGTGGGCCAACAGCATGTTGGCGGGGTGGGAAGGGGGGCACTAAGCGGCGGCACAGAAGTATAGGAGTTGATATGGGGCTGTTGGCCCGCCCCCAGGCCCACCCCCAAATTGTGCCCGATCCCTGCCCTACAGACTCAGGAGGCACCAGTCACCCCTGGCACATGCCCTGTTTTAAATGAAAACTGTTGTTTACAGCTGAACTTAAAACTCCTGGGGAACTTTCTCTTCCATGATCTTTTTATCAGCGTGAGGAAAGCCTTTCCCCTCCCTAGTCCACCATCCATCTCAGGAATGTGCCTGGTTGCAGGGAGTGGCAGAGGGTCCGAGCCAATGTTCCACAAAGTGCTTTGGGAGCTTCTGGGAAGATATGAGTGAGATGTTCAAGAAATGTTTTTTTGGATGATTGAATGTGGATGAAGCAGACTTATGCTATACATTTCTGATTTAGTTAATCTATAAGGGGAAAATCTACCCTGCCTTCTGCTTGACTTCAGATTAACATGGATCATTACCTCTCTGACATGAAATAACCAAGACAATTAATAATTCCTCCTTTCAGTTCCATTAGAGCAATTTTCCTGAGAACTACACAACAAACCAAAACTCTTGCAAGGGCAACAACCACAATCATCCTGGCAGATAGTCTAAAACAAATTACAGATTTCTAGCCAATTCTAGGTGACCTATCCATGAGGTATGATTGATTAGTGACAAAAGAAAAGAGGGGTTTTAACTGAATTTTGTATTGACAATTTCTTTTTCTGAGAAATATTCCTAAATTTGAGGCTTTTAACAATAAGAAAATTCATCTAGAATCGAGTCAGGTTTCTGCCTCTTAAGATTTTAACTGAGTACTCTGTTTCCATTCCTTGCCATACCTAGGCCTTCCCCTCCATGTCCAGGTTTTCCCAGCCACGTCCTCTTTTTTGGATCTCTGTGCTGCATCTGGGCGGGTTTTTAAAAGAAGAGCAAATGTCCAGATTTCCTGCTCTCCCAGGCTGCTTGGGTCTGGGAGCAGTGGGCAAGGTGATTGGCTATCAGGGGTCACGTGCTCCCTGCATGGGCTCTAGCAACCAGGTAGAGAGGGGGAGAGAGAGAGTGCGCACAATGCAGGAGCCGAGTTGGGCAGCAGGGCTGGGGGGTGGGGGCTGTGGGTCGGAAGTGAGGGGCACCTGCAGGGCTGGAAGGGGCGCAGGGGGCTGCAGATCAGGAGTGAGAGGCACAAAGGACAGGATGGGAGTGGGGGGCAGGGTACTGCTGTTTGGGAGTGAGGGGCAGCAGCAGGGCTGGGGGGGTGGCTTGTCAGTGAGGAGCAACAGAATGGGTAGGGGCAGGGCACCAGCATGTCACTGCCCACCCACCATCATATTCCCGCTGCCCCCCTCCCCCCATGACAGGTGTCCTCTTTTTTGGACCTAGAAATATGGTGACCCTAGCCATACCTCAGTTTTTGTACCTAAGGTGTCCCCATTTCTCTCCTGGTATGCTGTCTCCTACCTGCAGCAGGGTCAGTCAGGTCAGTTGTTTGTTCAAGCTTTGGTCCTCCTGGGCAACAAAAGAGAGGTCAAAACAAAACAGATCTTCATCCTCCTTAGCCTCAACTATCTCCTACCTCATTGATGCAGGGCAGAAGACATTGGTCTTAGCTCTTCTCAGGCTAAGCAGTTACTTCTTTGGCCAATCCAAGCGTACAGCAAACACCTCTGTTGAACCAGCATAGCTACTTCCACTGGAAAGTCCCAAGTAAGGCCCTTAAGCAAGTGCAGCAGCAATACACCAGGAACTGAATCTGTTGCCTCTGGAGCTAAAAATGAGCAACTATAGCCTGAGCTAAAGCTCTGTACTTGGGAGTGCAAGGGGTAGAATGAACCTTTAATATTCATCACCATGCTATGCAAATACAGGAGCCAACACCAGACTTCAAGCCTACGCCACTGTCTGGTGCCCCAGACCTTTTCATGCTTTACCTTTCCTCTGGGGTCTTTATTGTTTTCTCTTTTCTAGCATTCTTGTCTCTAAACCTACTCACAGGTCTTTCTGAAACAGAACCAACACTTTGCATTATACTGCCCTGCAATCACCATCTATAGAGTGCCATGCCACACCTCCCTTCCACCGGCATTGGTGAGGCCTCACCTGAAGTAGTGTGTCCAGTTTTGGAACCCACACTTCAAGAAAGATGTGGGAAGATCAGAAAGAGTCCAGCAGAGAGCAACAAAAGCTATTAGATGTGTGAGAAACATGACCTATGAGGAAACACTGAACTAGGGTTATTTAGTCTGAAGAAGAGAAAATCAAGGTTGGGGGGGTGGGATCTGGTAACAGTCTTCAAATATCTAAAGGATGATAACAAAGAGGATGGAGATATATTTTTTCTGTGTCTGTAGGGGGCAGAACTTGAGGCTCAGACAGAAATTACATTTGCTGGCCACTTGAAAAGTACTCTACAGCCATGCCCTACCAGGAGAGCATGGCTGCAGAGCACTCTGATTGCATGACAAATTAATCCTCATTGTATGAAGGTTCAAATGAAGGTGCTCCAAAGTGGAGCACCTTCATTAACCTGCCTGCTCTGGCAACCGGGCTGCTGCAGCCCAGCCCTGTCCCCAGTGCTGTCTCAGGATGGGAGGGAGGGAGAAGGAGAGTGGGGAGCTTAGTGTTTGCCCAGCCTGAGGCAGGGGCTCCAATCTACCTGCCTCCACTCAGGCAAACACTAATCTGAGCTCCCTCCCCTCTCCTCTTCCCCTCCTCCCCATCCTGAGACAGCACTGGACCTGGAGGGGTGGAGGGGTGGGGGGGGCAGGTATAAGGGAAGAGGCTGCCAGCATGCAGCTTCTCACATTGGATCAGCTCTGAATTGGAGCTTGATTCCTCCACCCTTCTGGCTCAACAGCTAACGTTTTTGGGTCGGGAAAATCAATCTGACTCCTGGTGCTTTCTGTAAAGCACCATGAGTGAGACTGGGAAACTGCACTTCTGTCTGCACCTTGGGAGTAATGGCATTAAACTGCAACAGAGGAAATCTAGGTTAGAGATTAGGAAGAACTCATCACTATGAGACTGGTTAAAGATTGGAACAGGCTACCTAGAGAGGTTGTGGAATCTGCATCCCTGGACATTTTTGAGAAGGTTAGATAGCTTAACAAGGTTTAATACCTGCTTCAGTAGTGCAGTAGATCAGTACATGATACTTATTGAAAGTTACTGGGGAAGTGACACAATGGTTGTGAGTTCAGCCTGGGATCAGGGACTCTTCAGCCTGAGGAAAAGAAGGCTGAGAGGGGACCTGGTAGCAGCTTACTAGTACACTGGGGGAGTACATCAAGGGCTCGGTGGGTAACTGTTCACCAAGGCACCCAAGGGGAAAACCAGGAGTAATGGCCACAAACTCCTGGAAGACCGTTTCAGGCTCAACATCAGGAAATACTTCACAGTCAGGGTGTCCACACTGTGGAATAAGCTCCCTCCAGAGGTGGTACAATTTCCTACCCTGGAAACCTTCAAGAGAAGACTAAATAGTCACCTTGCTGGGGTCACCTGGCTCCCAATTATCTTTCCTGCTTGGTGAAGGGGGCTGGACCCAATGATCTTCCAATGTTCCTTCCAGCCTTACAATCTATGAATATCACAGAATCTATGAATCTATGAATAGACACTTGGTTGGGATGGTTTAGTCAGGGATGATCTTGCCTTGAGCAGGGTCCCAGACTAGGTGACCTCTTGAGGTCCCTCCAGTCTTACTTTCCTGTGATTCTATGATCCTATAATAGATCACATACTATCTGTGCCACACCTCTCCTCTCCCAGATCACATCCCCCTGAGCCCCCTGATCTAGAAGTACTAGGAATGAGACATGTCTGGCCTACAGGTTCACCTCAACACCCTGTTAACGTGAGGATTTGGGTTTTTGTTTGTTTAAAATTGTAGCAAGAAGCCAGACTGATAGGGGATTGGAGGTATTATGTAGCAAAACAGAGAAGAAACAGAGAATGTAGCCTTCGGAAGAACAATCGTTCCCCTAACACTAACACATTCTTTGTTCTGAGCTAGAAGGGGGATGAATTCTTCCCATGATGTTTTATCATTGCCACCTGAGAGAAATTTCTTTTACAAAATTTCATGCTGCAGTGGAGTTCATATTTTCAAATTTGACCCCCGACTCTCTCTCTTTCTTTCTCATTTCTTTAGTGCCTGTGTGCTTCAGTATAGCCGTTACTGCTACTTAATCTTCCCTGATATCGCTGACTATCTGCCTGCTATAGCAGGTGCGTCTTTGCATAATAATTTTCCTACCCTCAGTATGTAAGGACCAGTTTTCTCACATCTGTACAGATGGTGGTCTTACTGATGTTATCAGATCAAGTTCATCAACTTTCCCAGAAACCATAAAAGGTTCCTTATTATTTTAAGCAAAGTCAAACCCTAGGAAATTGATCTAATTGAGTTAGTTTTACAATCTAACTGTGCCAAAGAGCTCGTTTTGTGGGATTACTGCAATTTGCAGCTATCAGTTCTTTATCAATTGTTTTTTGTGATAAATATTCCCAGATATAATAAAATGTTTTGTGTTTTTTATCTTGAATATCTCTCATAAATATTAAACTTTAACACTTTCAACTTTGTACTTTCCATCCCACAGGAGGAACAGTAAAAATATGCAAATCTACAATTATCGCAGAGGAGAGGATAAAATAACATAGCTTATATAGCCAAGTTAGAAACAGTCCAAGGAACTGTTAAGTAGTTACACAGTCTTCACTCTGGTCTGCCTTAAAGATTTGTCAGGATTACAGCCCTGCGGAGCCACCCACCTGTACTGCTATGGCATTGTTACAGAGAAGCCATGCCACCTTAAGTCATGATTCTGTTTATCCTGATTTAACTGCATTGGTACAGATTGGAGCATTGCCTGTCTATGTTAATTGATACCAGGGAAGTTATATAAATACCTGCTCTCTGGTAGCTGGACCTCGACCTAAGGGCAAGGTCTCTCCTCTAGTGCTGTGCAGCTTTAGGTGAATTTCAAATTCTCTTGTGTCTCTGTTCCTCTACCTAGTAAGTAGGGTTCATAGAACTTATCAAGCCTTCACTAATATAAGTTAGTTTGCCCCATACCCTACTGTACATCATTGTTGCAGAGAGCCCACTAGTCTGCCTGCAGCCCTTTACTTCATTATCATTATTAATATTGTTGATGATTATTCATTATTATTGTTATTCCTTTGTATTCTCATAGTGCTGCAAAGCCCTAATAGTCCAGGACACCATGGTGCAGCATAGCAAAAGAGAGTTTTAAGGAGATATTTGGAGGATAAGGTTGCATTTGTCACATCCAAAGAAAAGAAAATGGAGGTAATCTTGATAAAGATGAATTTTAGCTATCTGAACAGCTAGGAAAGGCTGCATCTAAGAGAAGTTACACAGACTGAAATTACCAGTCTTAGACATAGTCTGAATGTGAGGACCTAGGGAGATAATTGAAACTGGTAGAGCAGTGATATCAAGGAAGGAAATAAGAGGCGCAGACAGAAGTGACAATTTTCGCACAATCTGGCCCCTGTAAACGCTCTACAGCCATGACCAAACATAAGTGCACAGCTTCAGAGCACTTTAAAAGGACCCATGACAATATGAACCCTCACTGCATGAAGTTCCAGGTGAAGATGCTCCAAAATGGAGCATCTTCATTAACATATGTTAGCATGTTCCATCTTCAGAATTGGAAAGGGGAAGGGAGCGGAGGGAGTTGAGCCTGGGATTTTTTCAGCTGGTGCTAGGGGGTGGAATGGGAGGATTGGAGCCCCCTGAGTTGAACATAGAGCCGGGGTTAGGAGGAGTGAAGGGCGGGGCTAGGGGAGAGTGGCTGCAGACTCACAGCTGCTCCAAATTGCAGCTGAATCCCCCAACCCCTGGGACCCAACAGTGAACATCTGTTGAGTCCGGGGATTGCTGTAAGTGATGGTGCTTCCTGCAAAGTGCTATGAGGTCCAGCAGGGAGCTGCACTTCTGTCTGCACCTATATAGAGAGTCTGGGAGGAAGATTAAGGACTCTGCTCTTGTCATGCTCAGCTTATACTGAGAGCTAGGTGCCCATCAGAGAGACAAACCAAGGTTTTAATTTGGCCAGGAGGAAACAAGTTTTGGTATACAGCTTCTAACATAATATACTTGTAATTCAATGGTCAAGACCAGCTGCTGCTGCCATTGATAAGAGAAATGCTGGCCTTACATCCTCATGAATGCAGAGGATGTTTGGGCTTGATCTTAGGTTTGCAGCCTGAACCTAGCTAGTTGTGCTTTCTAGTCAGGAGGAGCCCTTTTAGTCACAATGTATGGTTTCATGGATGGCTGGTGCCTCTTGAGTAAGGGGGGGCATGTGCCCCGGTGGCCGATTCCGCTGGCCGGGGGGGGGCGGAGGTCTGCCGGCGGCCGATCTCACTCACTGTAAAAGCGGCCGCGCCACTTCCAGAACTCCCGTGGCCACTTCCAGAATCGATGCAGCTGCTTTTGCTGGCAGCCCTGTTCCTCAGCCGGTGCTCGCAGA